ATAAACTGTGCGATAAGGGTAAGCTTGATGGTGATGCACACCCTCATTATTTTTCTATTGTTTCCTCTTCCATTTCTTTAGGTTGAGCTGAGCTGGTGGCGGTGGCGTAAAGACGAACGAGTGATGGTAATTGGTTGATGTTTTATTATTATCTCTGCTTCCGCCTATTGTTGAATTGTCATTTTGACTTTGTTTATTTTGTGCTTAGACTTGGATAAATTGATAATGCTGGATTGAATCTTGGATTTATGTTTTGGTTTTATGGTTGTGTTGGAACTTAATAAATGCTTGGTTTATTGTTTATAACTGTTAGTTATAGATATTTCCTTATCGTTTCATGCTTAGTTTTATGTGTTGTATTTTTGTTTAATTTATTCTTGGTAGATAAGTAGCGCCCGTTGAGTTTTAAATATTAATGTGGGATTTAAAAAAAAAATAAAAAAATTAAGTTAACTCTGATTTTATAAATAAATTCGGTAAATTCTTTAAAATAAAACGAGGCGTTACAGTTTGGTATCAGAGCTAGTCTGCGTTTCTGTAGACTACCTCTTTTGTTTATGTGTTTAATGACCATTCGACCACTCGCTTTCGTCTCGCCGCGCCAACTCAAGGTATGTATTCATAAGTGATAAAGATATTGCTTGTGATATGATCTTGTGGTTATTGTATGTTTTATTATTGGGGCTTAGGAATTTATCCTCCGTTTAAACGGACTTGAACTCTAGTGGTATAGAGTTAAGTTCCAACTTTAGAGGTTTTTGTTGTGAGTTTTCGGTTTGGCGTTATCGAGTTAAGTTTCTGTTTAGTGTCTTTGAGTGAAGATCATTCGCAAGCTATGTGGAAGGAGAAGTCTTAAGTAAAGAAGCAGACAACCGAAGAAGTCCCAAGTGTGTGGGTTATTCGGAAGTCTGTGACTATTGTTGTTAGAACTATTAGACGTGTGTTAGAACCCGGTTAATGGGAATCAAGAGTGGAGTCTAGGTGTCAGTTTCATGTTGATGATCCGACCATTTATGCTTGTAGGTTCATGGAGATCGATTTAATGGCTGATTTTCCCTTGTTATAATTTGTCCGATATTATTCGTTCATTTCTCGTTGGTTTGTCTCGTAAATTCTTCGTGGATGTTTGAACTGTAGTGTTTCATGGCGAACTCTAGATTTCACTTGTTTAGTATTGTGCTAAATTTTCCGGCCTATTCAATGTAGAACTATGGCCAACCGCAATACTCGCAACACCCGCAACAACAGGCAGCCGTCCCCGCCTCCATCCCCACCTCACCAGCAGGCCCCTCCGAACATGGACTTCTTGCGACTCTTAGTCCAGTTTCATGGAATGCACGCACCCACTTTTTCAGGGAATGAAAACCCCACCACGGTGCTCGAGTGGATGAAGGAACTTGATAAAATCTTTGTTATACTCCCTCTCCAGGATAGACAACACGTTTCTCTCGCCGCTTTCCAGATGAAGGCGGATGCATCCGACTGGTGGATTGACCACTGGGCTCGGAGGCCAGAGGCTGAGCTTAACGCTCTCACCTGAGATCAAATGAAGGTGATGGTTCGAGGAAAGTTCCTTCCATAGAGCTTTGTGATCGGATGGAGCAGGACTTCTATCATCTGCAGCTGGGCAATTCGAGCGTAGACGAGTACATACGCACTTTCACCCGGATGAGCATCTTTGGCGGCGACACTGTGAACACTGATGAGAAGAAGGCCCGTAAGTTTCTGAAGGGAGTGAACCAGAGGGTCCGTGAGCTGGTTGGGAGTCACGGTCTGATGTCCTATGCAGAAAGTGGAGAGCTGTCTCATTCTGATAGCTCCAGTACCCTCATACTATCGCTCTACCTATCCAGGCTGTGCCACCTGTTATTCCGCCGCTATCCTATCAGCCGCCGGTCTACCCTCAGACGGCATATCAATATCCTGTTCTGTGTGCTACCGCTCTCCCATCCTCTAGCTCTGGCAAGAGGAAGAATGATAATCAGAACCGCAAGAAGGGCAAGTGCCCTAACCATGGTCCGCGCCAGCCTAAGCAGCAACTTGTGACACAAAATACTCAACCTACCCACCAGTTTTCGGCAGGACCACCGCCGTGTGGAGCATGCGGGCGAGTCCACGAGGCCAACATGTGTCGAGCTGTCGACATAACCTGCTACAGCTGCCAGAGGAAGGGTCATTACTCCTGTCACTACCCAGAACCCCGGAGGCCGGATCAACATCAGCAACCCAGACAGCCCCCACCTTATCAGCAGAGGCCAGAAGGCCAGGCCCGTGTCTACACTATCACCCACGACGAGGCAGCCAACAATGCAGGTACCATGTCCGGAATGCTTTCGATATCTAATATGCCTGTTTTTGCATTATGTGACACTGGGACAACCCATTCCTTTATCTATTTCCCATGTCTTAGACCCTATATGTTATAAATGTGTACAAAGTTGAAGCGTACATTAACTTGAGAATACCTTAGCCTCGATATAGACGGTGGTCAATTTTCTTTTCTGATCTGTTTCAACCGAAGTGGCGTGCGTGAGATTCATCCCATACCTGATCGGGAGGAGCCTCGACACCTTTCTAGGGATGTTTTGTTATAGGAAATCTCTTAAACGAGGGTAGTCGAGCCTAATGTGAGCACATCGTGAGGTGCAGGGCCGTCATCATTTCTGAAATTGTGTTCATCGTAAATCTTTGAAAACTCTCGTTCTTTTTCCTTCGGAGCTTCGAGAGTGATGCTTTGTATTTCTTAGACTTTTGCAATCCTTTGAAAACCCTCGTTTTTGGTTCGTTTGGAGTTTTCATTTCAAGATTTGCAACCTTATGTATTGATTGAGACGAGTACTTTCGTTTTTTCGCTTGTCTTAAATCGTTCTTTCTATGATGGTGATGCCATTAGGTCTGGGTACTCCATTCATACCCAGATCGGTTTGTCATGGTTTTTATCGTTGATGACCTATGTTCGAGACGCGATCGAGACTAATCAACCGAGTAGGCTTTGTGATGAATCCAGAAACGTGACAATCTTAGCAGCGTAGAAATTGAGCTCGTTTAGGACTGCCGGCACGATTAGCTACCGGTGAAAGAGCTGACGTGACGGCCGACATTGTTAGTCGGAAGAGTCATGCGAGCTGATCATTTTCATTGTTCAGCAAAGACCGCTGAGTTGGGATTATTCCTAACTAAGAATGCCGATGTTCGATCTCTTTAGAAAATTCCTCTGTATGTCTAATATTTGATATCCGCTTGAAGTTTTATGGTTTGGGAAAGATGTGATGATTTGAAAGCCCTGAACCTTTCGAGATTGTTAACACCTATTGTTGAGGGAAAATGTCTTTGTTGAACCCTAATATGTGTCGTTTGAAGGTTTTGTGAAAACCTTTCCTTTTGGGTTACCTCAGATAGTGCGAACCTTGAATTAGAGAAATTCTTTTCTTTACCTCGAACTGAATGTCGATACTGACTGGGTGTAGCCACGCGAAGTGGTGGTCGGGCACGCGAGCCCGTGCTGAGAAACGTGAGGCACTGTAGGGCCGATCGTTGACTCGCACGAGAGCTGCAACCACCATCACCGAATGCAGGAACTCCCCAAGCCAATGTGTGTGGCCGAACTTTGACCTTGCAGCTGGTCTCCGAACAGATGTACGCACACGTCCCAGCGCCCCGTTTATGCAGCCAGAGTGTGTGACATCTCTTGGGTGACAGTGGATTTAACCCCGAGCTGACTCTGTCCTTTTGGATCGTTAGTATGGGATTATCGAGCATCCCTATTTGAGGGACTGTTTATGAGATAGGAGGTTGTTTCCGAATACCTAGTCGATTCTTCCTAAACAGCATATGAGTTGTTATTTGTGTCGGCAAGGAATGAGACTTTGTCAATGGTATCGAACAGAACCGTCTGTTCTGAAGGTATCAGTGTGGCAAGGAATGAGACTTTGTCAATGGTATCGAACAGAACCGTCTGTTCTGAAGGTATCAGTGTTGAGGACATAGTGTTACTGATGATTTTTAACCATTCGTATGGGGTTCTACGGCGGCCCGTCTGATACGGATGCACGGATCATATTGAGATCGTGGGCAAGTTGTCGGCGTGACCCGGGCAGGAGACTGAACTTGGCACCGAGTAGCAAGTCCTGATAGTTGGGCGTTTGGGACATACTGTCGAGACCCTGAGAGACTGGTTGGAGTCTGGTGTACTCGATAAGTATGTCGTGTGGGATGTCTTACCATGGGGAAGTATGCCTATAGCGATGGCTAATGAGCGACAATCTCGATGGTACCGTACGAGATTCTAAGTACGGAAAGAGGTGTTGTACGCCTCGGATTCTGGGAAGAGAGGAAGTATCAACCACACTTTGTCGGTTCTTTTAGGATTCTCAACCGAGTCGGCTACTTAGCCTGACGATTGACCCCATCACCGGAGCTTGCCATAGTGCACGACCAGTTCAGTGCCTCGTGGAGAGGGGACATGTGCGTGACTCTGGGCATGTGGCGAACTTTGACAAGCTGCATGTGGAAAAAACCTTACCTGTGATGAGGTACCGGTGACCTACTGGATTGACGAATCCATCGGGGAGAGTCCGGGAGAGGTACTCGTCAAAGTTCGGCAGGGTAGCCGTGGCTAGTGCGGTGTGACTTGGTAGAGTGGGGAGATTCGGATGGAGTATCCGATTTTAGTGGTTTGAGCTTCTCTCTTGGGTCAGTTGTTCTGTTAGGATGGCTGTCTTTTATTTCCGGTGACAGAAATCGTTTAAGGAGGGTAGACTGTAATGCCCCGTTTATTTGTGGAGTATTTGAGAATTATTATTATCAATGATTATTATTGTTGTGATTATTATTATTAAATAACGTGCGTAATTAATAACTATTACCGGTTTTATTTAATTTGCCGTGCGATCGAACTGAACCGTAATTGTCATTTAAGTTTTTAAAAACCAAGACCGAGAGCCGGCCCGAGCGAACCTGCCCAGCCAAAGCCGAACCGGTCCAGCCGAACTGGCCCATACCCAGTTTTTCTCCCTTATGCTTGTGTGCATGTGTTTCATGGAGTAGAGGAAATAGAAAACCCTAGGCTTAATATCTTGCGCTCCTCTCCCTCACGACAGACAAAACGCCCGCAGACAAATCTGCTCTCTCTTTCTCATTCGCTAATCCCGATCTCTCCCTCAACAACTCTCCCGATCTCTCTCGTCAAAATTTTCTCGCCGCCATCATCCCTTCCCTCTCTCTTAATCTGATCGTCTCTTTCTTCTCTGACGCGCGATCACCGCTGCCATCCTCTGCGAGCAGCACATCCGCAAGCATCCATCGTCGCCGCGACTCCTCTGCCGCGACCCCGCCACGCCGCGACGCCTCTGCCGCGACCCTCTGCCACGACCACCAGGCCCACGGTGAGCCTTCTTCCACGCGCAGCACCTCCGACGACCCTGCTGCTCCTCCGCGAACCCGCCGTCCTCGTCCTCCGCGAGCAGGTTCCATCCGGCGACCCACCACTACGCGCAGGCCCCGTCTCCGCCGTTCTTGAGCCGCTGCTCCACCGCGAGTCGCCGCCGAGCACCCGTCGCAAGCTGCCTTCGACGTCTTGTCAACTCCCGTTTGACCCTTCTCGCACGTTCCCAAGAACGGTAACGAGACTCAATCCCTCTTTAATTATTTGCGTGTTATATTCATGACTAAGATTAAATGTGTATATATGTATTTCATGTTGTTGTTATATATTAATGCGTGTTATGTGTAATTGTCGTTGATTCATGTGAATCGAACGAGATCACGTTGGAATCGTGATCAGTCGCTGTGGATTTGGAATGGTTGGAAGTCCTAGGCCTTATGGTGAAGGCCTCGGACGACTTAAACGATTTTGAGTCGTTTATGAATTCATAGATCGTGATTAATTGCTGTTTATGTGTTAAATTAACTGTAAATCATATTCTGCTCCAATTAATGTGAAATTTTGTGTGAGTTGTCCTCTTTTAATTATGCATGTCGTGTAAAAATTTCAGATTAAAATACTAAATGTAGCTATTTTAATTAATTAATGTGATTTCTGAGAAAAATCGTGTTAATTACATAGTAAATTGAGTTATGCTTTAAATTTTTTCAAATTTGAGTATGTTGTCTCTCACGCATATTTACATGTTGTATAAAATTGTCAGAATTTTTGGACTTCGTTTGCTTGGGTTAAAAATTAATTTGAGTATTCTGCAGAACCTTGTTTTAATTTTGAAAAATTATCATAATGTTGTAAATTATTGAATTTTGGAGTCTGGGCTTGTTTTGTAGTATGTTACATGGTTTAAAAATATCAGATTTATTTGAGTTCATTTTGGTTCAGTTTTGTTGAAAATTCAAATTATACAGAATGTTATTATAATTTTGAAAATTTGTATGTTTGATGTTCATAGCTGAAATTTTTATATGTTGTTATTCAAGTGTTGTAGTTGCTTATGTATATATTTCAAATGTTAATTCGTTCATTAGGTCAGGTTGTGTATTTATGTTCATTTTTGCTTTAAACTTGTGTGAATTTTATAAAATCATGTATTTTGAGTTTGGGGCTGAAACTTGGTGGTTTTACTAAGTTCAGTAAGGTAAATTTGATGCTAAAATTTCAGAGTCTAACTCAATGGTTTGCTCGACCATCTTAAACATGTGCAAATCTCGTCAATTACTTTCAAAGTGTAGTTTTGTATTAAAGTTTGTTAGCCGGTTCGTATGTTGCCTTGTTGTTTGATTTGACCATCTCTTATTTGAAATTGTGTGAACTCCAATAATTGGTTTTGTCAAGTCTATGTTCAAGAGTTCCAAAGTCCACAGGCCTCCAAGAACATCTTAGTCGAATCAAGTTCGGCTAAGTCTAATTGTGATTTCCTTTTTAAGTCAAGATAAGGTGTTGATTTTAGATTCTTGAATTAATGTAGGTGATTTGAGGTGTTGACCTCACCCTTCATTCGAGATTCGTGATTGTGAAGTGTCGCTTCAATCAGGTGGGTACATTTGTGTTGTATCCATAATTATCGCACTAATTATTATTTCGTATAAATGTTTCGTTCGAAAATTGTGTATGCGTGGGAACCCTAGTCTAAGTGTCCCGTCTGTTAGTGCCTTTGATGAATGCATAAACAGTTAGAGGTCACTGGCCCGTAGTCGATTCGGGGAGGTGACGCCCTGGTCCGTATGATATTCGTGAAGGGGAAAAACAGCTCTACTGTCTCCTGGAAAGGATCCCAGGCCCGTAGTTATATTCGGTGATGGGCAGGTTTCCAGTTACTTCCTTGTCGTTATATCCGGAAGGTTGTTGTATGTACATAGCAGGTTTGCGATACGGCCATGTAGGGAGTTAGACGTTGGATTCTACGCATACTGTACGCTGTGTTATTGTTTTAAAATTTTATACGGGATAAACTGTGCGATAAGGGTGAGCTTGATGGTGATGCTCACCCCCATTATTTTTTTGTTGTTTCCTCTTCCTTTTCTTTAGGTTGAGCTGAGCTGGTGGCGGTGGCAGTAAAGACGAACATGTTATGGTCATTGGTTGATGTTTTAGTATTATCTATGCTTCCACCTATTGTTGAATTGTCATTTTTTACTTTGTTTATTTCCTGCTTAGACTTGGATAAATTGATAATGCTGGATTGAACCTTGGATTTATGTTTTTTTATATTTGTGTTGGAACTTAATAAATACTTGATTTATTGTTTATAACTGTTAGTTATGCATGTATAGATATTTCCTTATCGTTTCATGCTTAGTTTTATGTATTGTATTTTTGTTTAATTTATTCTTGGTAGATAAGTAGTGCCCGTTGAGTTTTAAATTTTAATTTTGGATTTTAAATAAAAATAAAAAAATAAAAAAATTAAATTTTAATTTGGTATTTTAAATAAAAATAAAAAAATAAATAAAAATTAATTTAACTCTGTTTTTATAAATAAATTCGGTAAATTCTTTAAAATAAAACGGGGCGTTATAGACCTCCTCTTGAACTAACCAAAGGAAGAGCTGATTTTACTAAAGTCGACGACCTCAAAGTCAACTCCATGTGTCGACCCCCTTAAAGTCGACCTCTAGCAAGAAGACGAGCAAGCGTAGCCTCCGAACATGCATATGAACCCTAAGTCGACCTCGCGGTGCTCAAGGTCGAATCTTTACATCTCGAGACGTAAAAGGTGCTGACGACTCAGCACACTTGCAGCATATCTAAAGCCACGTATCTTCTAATGGATAAGGAGGAGTCTTGTGATGACTCAGCAGTGGAGGGAGACTAACCTACCGGGGTATTTCAGACATTTCAAGAGAGTCGACCAGGGCATTTTGGGTACTTCAAGTAAGTGTTTTCTCCTATATGAAGGGAGCTGAAGTAACCCTAAACCCTAACTTTCATTCGTTCCATTCACTCTTTCCTTCTGCTGCTGCTGCTCTCTCAGAGCAACTCTTCCTAATCTCTTTCACATACTGACTTGAGCGTCGGAGGCTTACGCCGGAAACACTTCCGGCATTGAGTTCTTGCAGGTGTTGTTGCGGTCTAGCAACGGTTCGAAGGTGATTCAGACAGATCGGAGCTCTTTGTCAACGGTTCACTCTATATCTGAGAGTAGACCCATCATTTTGGTGTCGTCTGTGGGGAGTTCTTGAAGGAATTAAGAGCTTTGTACCTAGCTCTGATTTGTTTCTGATGGCTGAGAAGTAAGGTTTGCAGAGGAACTTGAACGAGGAGTTCAGGGGGACTTGGACTGAGAGGCGACCTCCAACGGTTCTCAACTCCAATCCGATGATACAGATGTTGGGGTTTCCGCCGTTTGGAGGACAACCACCGCCGGGCTTGCAGATGGGAGAAGAGATGCCATTACTCCACCAGGATTCAAGATCCAAGTGTTGACCCAAGGAGGAACTAACCGCACAAGGAACCCCAGTTCAGGAGTGGGAGAGAAGGAGCTAACGGAAATGCCTCGACGTGAGGGAAACCAAATTCAAGAAGTGCCGGAGCAGACAGAAACACAACCCCACATCGAGGAGCAGACACTATCGATGAGGAGAAGCGAGATGCAAAAGATGATTGCCAAAGCTGTAGCTGCCTACACGAAACAGGTGGTGCGAGTCGAGCAAAACCCTCGAGTCGAGCAGCATCAAAGAGTCGAGCAACAACCTCGCATTGAGCAGCATAACAGGAGTGCAGGCGAGGAAGAGTCCTCCATCAAAACCATTAATCCGCAGGCAAGAGACGAACATTGGAGCAGTTGGTGGCCCAGGTTCGCGACTTGCAAGCTCGAGTTGGAGGCAAGAAGAGCAGAGGTGCGAGAGAACACCCATTCTCGCAACACATTTTGAGGGCCGACTTACCTCAAGGCTTCAGGGAATAGAACATATGGTACGATGGCTCCACTGACCCATCTCGACATCTGAGAAGCTTTGAGAACATGGCGGTGCTCCACCGCTACAGTGATCCTGTACAATGCCGTGCTTTTCTGACAACTTTGAAGGGGTCGGCTCAAGACTGGTTCCACCAACTACCAGTTGGGTCGATCCAAGACTTTGATGGCTTTAATTCGAGTTTCCTCAATCAGTTTGCAATTGTTAGAGTGTAGGAGAAATCCTATCTCTCATTGATCAGCATGCAACAGAAGATGGGAGAGTCGTTGCGCGACTATGTGGCGAGATTTACCAGGGCATGTGTCGACGTGCCCACAGCAACTGAGGAGATGAAATCAGGAGGACTGACGAGGGGGCTGCTGCCAGGGTTGTGCAAAAACTCTCGTGCGAGACGGCCTGGCAGGAGCTTTGATGAAGTCTTGGGGAGATGTGCGAAATACATGAATGTCGAGAAAACAGAAGTCGACTATTTGCAAAGCACGAAGGTGGCCCAGATACAGAGTCGAGACGATAAGAAGGAGAAAAAACCCCACTCGACGAGGGAAAGGAGAGGATCCCCGCGAGTAGAAAGAGAGGGACGATCTAGGGGATGGATGCCAATTCAATATACACCTCTTTCGGCTCCTCATGCGAGAATATTGGAACTGATGGAAAGAAAAATCCGCGATGA